GCTCGGCTCCCCGCCACCGGAAGGCCATTGCGATCTGTTTTGTGCTGTTGTCATGGAAATTATTGCTACTTCACACATTCTGCAGGTTTGACATCACTGTGGGAGCAGGAGCCCAGGCGCTGAGGGCACAAACAGCCTAGCAGGGCCAAGGGAAAAGATGGGCGAGCAAGGAAAACAGAAGGGTGTGTGGTTCCTTCTGGAGCTTTCTCCTGATTTAAACCTCCTCCGTAAACCAGCAGCCCTGCTTCACGTGAGCGGTCCCCCAGAAGCACAACGCTTTGCAGAACTGGTCAGATTTCATCAGAATTTTGTTTCGGAGGAAAATTGGAAAGAAATTCAGCCACGCTGTAGCATCTTGTGTGACATTTTCATATCAAATCATTTCAAGTTTTAATTCTGAAACAGCTTGTATTTCAATAATTTCATTATTTATCATATTACATTTTGTGTTTTGCATTATAACTCTTGGTTTTTATATTAATTTTACATGATAAATTATTTTGTTAGAAATCAAAATTGAAATAAAATCCATCCAACTTTCTCAAAACCAAAATGCTTTAATAAAGCTAAAGCATTTTTTTAAGCATATTCCTTCATAGACAATTTAAAATTGCTCGATGTTTCTCCTTGTTCCCAAAGAACACAGATTTCAAAACCCAAAAGCCTTCATGAAGCCGATCTGTCCACTGAGCAGCTTTGATTTCCAGCTCACGTGAACGATTTTTGCTCTGTCTTCTTAAATGCACGAGCGGGTTTGTGGGGGAGAGTGGAGAGCTGAGACGTCACCAGCTTCTCCACGTTCGCCGCAGGACTGCCGCCTTCCCGGGGCTCCCGACGCGGAGTCGGGGCTTCTCCGAACAGCAGAGCCCCGTCTAACCTGAGAAATCCTCTCTCTTGGATGCAGACGCTGACAAAGAACCAGGAAACACATCTGGTAAAAATTATTTAGAAACATTTCCAAACTTGGTCATCTTTGCTCTTACACAAGCGCAGTTTGCCAAGTGCTGGGTCGAGACATGTCGGGGACGCTGGCTGGGCCCAGGGGCTGAGCCGCGGCTCACTGGGCTGCACACTGCGCTGGGCTGAGCACTGGGCTGTGAGCTGGGCTGAGCACTGGGCTGAGCACTGGGCTGAGCACTGGGCTGTGCGCTGGGCTGAGCACTGGGCTGAGCGCTGGGCTGAGCACTGGGCTGTGCACTGGGCTGTGAGCTGGGCTGAGCACTGGGCTGAGCACTGGGCTGTGCGCTGGGCTGAGCACTGGGCTGCACACCAGGCTGTGCACCAGGCTGTGCACCGGGCTGCACGTGGGGCTGCACGCTGGGCTGCGCGTGGGG